CTGGGCTTCGCGGTCTGCGCTCTTGGGGTCGGGGTTGGGGGCTGCGGGGTGGGGCTTGGGGTTTGGGGTTTAGGGTTTAGGGTTTAGGGTTTAGGGTTTAGGGTTTAGGGTTTAGGGTTTGCGGGCTGCGCTGCTTCTTTAGGGTTTGCTGGATGCAGTCGAGGCGGAGCAGCTGCGAGGCGCTGATGAGTTTTACCCTGACGAAGCTGACGCCTCCAAACCCTCAGAGCCTCCCCATTCAAAGGTAAACCCTAAACCCTAAACCCTAAACCCTAAACCCTAAACCCTCATGCGGGTCTGTGGAGACTTTAAGCAAAGACTTGGGCTTGCACCTTTGAGGCTCACAGAGTTTACGGGCGGGCCTCAACCCTCAGGGTTTAGGGTTTAGGGTTTAGGGGGTAGGATTTAGAACTTAGGGCTTAGGGCTTAGGGTTTGGGATTTAGGGTTTAGGGTTTAGGGTTTAGGGTTTAGCGTTCGCGGTGTGCAGGTCCTGAGCTCGTTGGCTTCTCTTTGGAGTCGGTTGTCTTCTCGCCAGAAGACAGGTCTGCTTTTAAGTATTTGAAGGCCTTGACTCTAAACCCTAAACCCTAAACCCTAAACCCTAAACCCTAAACCCTAAACCCTAAACCCTTTGAGTTTTCGCTCCCGGGGCTGTACGTACACCTGCTGCACCCAAATGCGCTCACTTGGCCTCTCAAAGAACTCGCTGAGCCGCAAACCCTAAACCCTAAACCCTAAACCCTAAACCCTTCGCGTTGCTGGGGTTTGCTGCTGCAGAGCCCGGGGCGGACGCTGCTGCTGCTGCTGCTGCTGCTGCTGCTGCTGCTGCTGCTGAAACCCCAAACCCTAGAATTCGGGGGCTTTACATTTGGGGGGGAGTTGGCCAGGGAAAGACAATGATATTAAATGCCTTTTTTGATTGTCTTGCAATTAAAAACAAACGGAGAGTTCACTTCCACGAATTCATGCTCGACGTGCAGCAGGTCAGGCCTAGGGTTTAGGGTTTAGGGTTTAGGGTTTAGGGTTTAGGGTTTAGGATTTAGGGTTTGGGTTTAGGGCTTGCTGGGGGTTTCCGCGCCTGAAGGGGCGCTGCAGAGGCTCCTTTAGGGAAAACCCTCAAATGTTCTTGCCCGTTTGGCCGGTGACCCTAAACCCTTGTTTATAGAAACCCTAAACCCTAATTTAGGGTTTGCTGCAGGAGCTGCACAAAATCAAGCAGCAGCAGCCGCCCGTCGGAGACCCCCTGATGGAAGTTGCAAGGAAGATAAGACAGTCTGCGAAGGTCCTTTGCTTCGACGAGTTCCAGGTGGGTTCAAACCAACGATTTAGGGTTTAGGGTTTAGGGTTTAGGGTTTAGGGTTTAGGGTTTAGGGTTTAGGGTTTAGGGCTTACGGTTTAGGTCTAGGGCTTACGGCTTCGGCGTTTCTGCAGGTTGTGCACATTACTGACGCCATGATAATGAAGCGCCTCTTTGAAGGTCTTTTTTCGGCAAGTGCAGGGTTTAGGGTTTAGGGTTTAGGGTTTAGGGTTTAGGGTTTATAGTTTAGCTTCTACGCTTTAGGGTTTGGCGCAGGAGGGTTTAGCCTTTGGTGTCTTTTGAATTCCAGCCTGAGCTTTACGTCTGCAGAGTCGCCGCAAGCCCGTGAAAGCCCGGCCTCAAACCCTAAACCCTAAACCCTAAACCCTAAACCCTTTTTTGTGGTTTCTGCAGCTAGGAGTAGTGGTGGTGGCCACCTCGAACCGCCCCCCCAGCGAACTTTATTTGGGGGGTTTAAACCGCGAGAGGTTTCTCCCTTTTATTCCTCTTCTTGAGAAGTTTTGCAATGTTTACCACATCGACACCAAGAAGGACTACAGGTCCCCAAACCCTAAACCCTAAACCCTAAACCCTAAACCCTAAACCCGGAAGCCTGCTGCGGTGGCTCGTCGCCGCCGCGGGCTTGCCCCAAACCCCAAACCCTAAACCCCAAGTGTAAATCCTAACCGTGAACCCCAAACCCTAGGCCCCAAACCGTGAAGCCGAAACCCCAAACCCTAAACCCTAAACCCTAAACCCTAAACCCTAGGGTTTTGTGGCTTCAGACAGGCGAAAGGAGGCGTGAGTTGCCGGCGGCTGTTTTATGCTCCTCCGAGATCTGAAAATGAAATTTTTGATCAACTCCAAAAAGCTGCAGGAGGGCCTCTTGAAAAAGGGGAAATTCAAGTGGGATCTGGCCGCAGCCTCGAGGTCAACAAACCCTAAACCCTAAACCCTAAACCCTAAACCCTAAACCCTAAACCCTAGTGGTCGCGTCGGGCGGGTCTGCTGCGGTGTCCGCCGACCGCGAAGGGGTGAAATGGCTCGGGAAAGAGGAAATAAATGGGAAAATAAAAGCAAAAGAAGAAATAAATAAAAAATAAATAAAAAATAAATAAATAAATAAATAAATAAATAAATGGAAATAAAAGAGAAGTAAACCCTAAAATGGAGGATAAAAAGGGTTTCCGCGAGGGTTTGCGCAGGTGCCGCGCATGCGCGCCGGCTTCGCAGCCTTCAGCTTCCAGGACTTGTGCTGCAGCAACGTGGGAGCAGCAGATTACTTTTCTCTTTCTTTTTCTTTCCACACTTTGTCAATTAATTCCATTCCAGATTTGCAACAAATGGATTTATTTCCCGACGAAATCCGGAGGTTTATCAGCCTCGTGGACGTCCTCTACGAGCGGTGACGCGGGGGTTTAGGGTTTAGGGTTTAGGGTTTAGGGTTTGGGGTTTGGGGGTGGGCGTAGGGTTTGCGGGGTAGGGGTTGGGGGTTGGGGTTTAGGGTTTAGGGTTTAGGGTTTGGGCTGGGGCGCGGTGCCTCTTCCTGTTCTCAAGCGCTCCTTTCCGCGCTCTTTGGCCCGCTCCGCAGTGGTCAGCTTAGGGTTTAGGGTTTAGGGTTTAGGGTTTAGGGTTTAGGGTTTAGGGTTTAGGGTTTGCGGGTTTAGGGTTTAGGGTTTAGGGTTTAGGGTTTAGGGTTTAGGGTTTAGGGTTTAGGGTTTAGGGTTTGAGGCGCGTTTGCTGCAGCTCCACTAGGGTTTTGTTCGACGCAGAGGCCCCTCTTTTTCGCTTTTTGGGAATTCCAAAAACAACAAAAAGAGTCGAACAAATTCGCCAACAAATTCAAAACAAATTCCGCACACTCGACGACGCAATACTCGCCCTCAGCCAAGTATGCATGCATGCATGCATGCATGCATGCATGCATGCATGCATGCATGCATGTATATATATATATGTATCTATATTATATATATTATATATATATGTTTTTTTAGAGAATATGTATGCATATGCATGCTGCATGTAAAGATCTATTTTAAATCTAATGCATGCATGCAGCGTCTTGATTATACTGGATATGTTCTGTTCCTTTTTTTCAAATAAAATTTACTTTGTAGCAAATTATATATATCTATGTTTGTTTATTTTACTTTTGTTTAAATTAAAAATATTTTATTTTGCAATTTAGATTTGTGCATCAACGCATGCATGCATGCGCATGCGGTGTATATACATGCATGCACGAAAATTGAAAATAAAATTAATTCGGGTGTACGTCCACCTCGTGCTCAAGACTGCATGCAGCGGAGTGTACGTACACCTGAATTTGTTGCAACAAATTGGATTTGAATTGCGGCGAATTTCCGCTCGTTTTAATTCCCGCAAAGGAAAAATAATTTGCAATTTAATTATTTATTTATTTATTGGATTAAAATGCATTTAATTAAAAGAATTAAAGTGCAATTTGAAGAAAAGCCGAAAACAAGGAAGGCGGCACTGACACCTCCTGGATTTGCATTTCTCGGGGTGTCTGTGGGAACAAAGAGTATCTGTGAATATATTTCTTTTAATTTAATTTATTTTATTTATTTTATTTATTTCATTTATTTTATTTTATTTTGTTTTTAATTTCTTTTTTGTTTCAGTTCAAAGACAAAGAAAGCTTCTCCCGCGAAGAGTGGCGTGCGGCGGCGACGGCGGTTTTGGGGCTTTCGGCTCAGTGTGTCTGTTGAAGAATAAATTGGAGATTAAAAGAATTAAAAGAACTTTAAATGAATTAATAAAACATTAATTTAATTATTTTAAATTAATTAATTCATTTTATTTCATTTTTATTTAATTGTTCTTTCATTTGCTTTCCAAAAAGTTGACCAGCTGGCTGTTCGCAGCGCTCAGTTTCAGGTGTCTGCTGAGCTTTTGGTTTTGATTTCTTTCATTTTATTTTTTATTCTTTTGATCTTCTTTTTGCTTTTAATTCTTTCATTTAATTTAATTGTTTAGGCATTTAAAATAATAAAACAAATTAGATAAGCAAGTAATATAAATAAATAAATAAATAAATAAATAAATAAATAAATAAATAAATAAATAAATAAATAAATAAATAAATCTTTTTAATTTCGTTTTCTGCAGAAACGCCGATGAGGCATTTTCAATTATGACTTCCCGCGGCGCTTTTCCTTTAGACTCGAATCGCATAAGGTAATAACTTTAAATTAAATTCATTTATTTGTTTTTTCTTTTTTCTTTTTTGTTTTATTTATTTACTTTTTAATTCATTTACTCGCTTGTTTGTTTGGACCTTTGTTTCTCTTGTTTTGTTTTTCATTTTCTGCATTCTTATTTTTATGTTTTTAAATTTAAAAATTTTTTAATTTCAAGTTTTGAAACTGATTTCGATTTCCCTCGTATTGTAGAAGTGGCGTTTGTCAGTTTCTTTTATATTCTTTTGATTTATTTTTTAATTTCTTTTTGTAATTTCTTTTTTTTAATTTCTTTTTTGAAAATTCCTTTTTTCTGCTTTCTGTGGCCGTTTCACGGAGTGTCTGTACACCTGAATCAGCAAAACACTTGTTTTTTTTTTCTGCCCTTTAAAGCCGCAAAAGCGCTCCATTTCTCGCGAATTAAAAACTAATAAATAAATAAATAAATAAATAATAAATTAATTAATTAATTAATTAATTAAGATCAATAAATAAATTGAAGTTTCCACTTTTGGCTGTTTGCAGGGGCATTTTGTTTTTCCACATGACTTCTTTCGACTTCGAGCCGCCAACAACTGCAGATTTATTTCTTTTCAGTTCTGAAAAAGAAGCTGCGCAGGTTTTGCAAAGTTCTGCAGTTTACGAATTGAACAAGTTCGTGAAAAGTGGAAACTTGCAAGAATTAATTTAATTTAATTAGCTTCTTTTCCGAATTAAATGCATGCGTTTGTTGCTTTTCAAATGGGGAAAATGCATGCACTGAAGTGTCTTATTTGCTTCTTTTTTCCCAATTAAATGCATGCATTTGCTGCTCTTCAAACTTCAAACTTGCATGCATTTGTTTGCCTTTTTTGCTTTCTTTTTGCCAATTAAATGCATGCATTTGCTGCTTTTTAAATGAGAACTCTGCATGCGCTCAAGTGCACATTTTCAAAACTTTTGCAAATAAATATATTAGTGCATTAAATTATGACTTTTAAAAGTCTTTTTTCTCTTTTTTTCTTCCAATTGGGACTTTTGCACTTCTGAGTAAATGAAGACTTTCATAGCTGCTGCTCTTTTCCCTTTTTTTCTATTTTTGTTCCATCTTTTGCTTTTTCCCTCCCTCTTCTTTTTTCACTTTTTCTTTTTTTCTTTTTTTCTTTTTTTCTTTTTTTCTTTTCTCCGCTTTTTTTGCCTTTCTGGCCCCCAGCGAAGGCCTGGACTCTGCGGGATCTGAAGACAACCAATTCGCCTTCGTCCGCACAATTTCGCGGTGAGCACTTCGGGTGTACGTACACCTCGGGATTGCGAGGTGGCGGCTTTGGATTGGAGTTGCAAACAGTTTCTTTTCGAGTTCTTTTTGAGTTCTTTTTCTTTTTGAGTTCTTTTTGAATTCTTTTTGAGTTCTTTTTGAATTATTTTTGAGTTCTTTTTGAATTCTTTTTCTTTTTGAATTCTTTTTCTTTTTGAATTCTTTTCGAATTCTTTTTGAGTTATTTTTGAGTTCTTTTTGAGTTCTTTTTGAATTCCTTTTGAGTTCTTTTTGAATTCTTTTTCCTTTTGAGTTATTTTATTTTCTTTTTGAATTCTTTTTGAATTCTTTTTCTTTTTGAATTCTTTTGTTTTCTTTTTGAATTCTTTTGTTTTCTTTTTGAGTTCTTTTTGAATTCTTTTTCTTTTTGAGTTATCTTTGAGTTCTTTTTAAGTTCTTTTTCTTCTTGAATTCTTTTTGACTTCTTTTTTTTTCTTTTTGAATTCTTTTTGAATTCTTTTTGAATTCTTTTGTTTTCTTTTGAGTTTTCTTTTTTTTTGTTTTGGAAATGCAGAATAAAAGAAATGACTTCTTTGCCGTATTTGCTGGCGCACCAAAAGGCGCACAAGTTGAACGACTTGGAGGCCTTTGGAATATCTCAAAGTGAAATTTGAAAAAAGAAATAAAAAAAATAAATCAAATTTAATCCAAATAGTCCATTTTAAATCAAATTTAATCCAAATGGTCCATTTTAAATCAAATTTAATCCAAATAGTCCATTTTAAATCAAATTTAATCCAAATAGTCCATTTTAAATCAAATTTAATCCAAATGGTCCATTTTTAAATCAAATTTAATCCAAATAGTCCATTTTTAAATCAAATTTAATCCAAATAGTCCATTTTAAATCAAATTTAATCCAAATAGTCCAATTTCAAATGCAAATAATCAAATTAAATTCAAATAGTCCCATTTCAAATGCAAAGAATCGAATTAAATTCAAATAGTCCAACTTTAAATGCAAATAATCAAATAAAACTCCATTTGAGATAATTAAAAAAAGTCAAAACTTTTGTGCAAATTCAAATTCCCCTTCAAAGCAGTTTCCGCGCAGCAGCGCCTGCGGCCCTTTCATGTGCCCGCAGTTTTATATCAAATGCATTTGTCATAATTTCTATTTCCTTTTTAATAAATAAATAATAAATAATAATATTTATTTATTATTTATTATTATTTATTATTTATTTATTATTTATTTATTATTTATTATTATTATTGTTGCATTGCTGTTCATTTGTTTGCAAAGCTCCCAGTTGGCTTACTGCGTTGCTTTCTTTTAGCTTTCTTTCTTGTCAGTCATTTCGCAAAATCGCAAAACTTGAATTTGAATTTTTTGTCGACTT